GCGGATAAAAACCAAACATTTATATGTCATGTTTCCAAACTAGGAACCACATTGAGCAGACTGGAATAATGCTCACTAAAACTTGTAGTTAAGGCATGAAGATTTCCTCTTGGGATTCTCAATGTGACTACTTAACATGCTACCTTTAACTAGTTGAATCATGTTTCTATGGGAAACCATTAATGAAACCATTTGTTTATTTCATAAAGAACAAGCCCAGTATGGATAGCGGAAACAAATCCAGAATCACCACCAAGGTAAACCGTTCAATTTCATAAAGATATTTACTGTTTTTACTCTTCCCCTAGTCTGAGTTATGAATTATGCTGACTTTGTCCTGTAGAGATCAAGTGATGGACAGTCGAAAAACAATCTGAAGCTATATGATGAGAATTGTGAGGAAGATGAAGATGAACATGGTAAAACCCTTTGTGGGAGCTGCGGGGGAAATTACAGCGGTGACCGAACAACAACGATCTATGACAGAACAACTTCGAGCTATGACCGAACAACAAAGATCTATGACGGAACAATTTACCTTTGTTAGTGCAAAGATGCAAAAACTAGAATTTGTGATGTTTTTCTTGCTTGTAATTGGTGTGTTATTACTTATGAAGATGTAATGCCAGTTAGAAGTAGAAGTAGAAGTAGATTGAACTATGTTTTGTTGTGGAATGGAATATGTATTGTTGAATATGTTTTGTGGAATGGAATATGTTTTGTTGTGAATTGTTGAATTTTTGAGTGGAATGGAAATGACCCACTGAATTGTTGAATTGTCATTGTTGAATTGTTGAATGAGGGTGTGGAATGAAGATGTGGTATTGTGGAATTGTTGTGGAATGAAGATGTGAACCATGAACAGGTTTTAAACCATGAACTGAACCATAACCCCCCAGTATGGATAGCGGAAACAAATCCAGAATCACCACCAAGGTAAACCGTTCAATTTCATAAAGATATTTTCTGTTTTTACTCTTCCCCTAGTCTGAGTTATGAATTATGCTGACTTTGTCCTGCAGAGATCAAGTGATGGACAGTCGAAAAACAATCTGAAGCTATATGATGAGAATTGTGAGGAATATGAAGATGAACATGGTAAAACCCTTTGTGGGAGCTGCGGGGGAAATTACAGCGGTGACCGAACAACAAAGATCTATGACGGAACAATTTACCTTTGTTAGTGCAAAGATGCAAAAACTAGTGATGTTTTTCTTTTTCTTGCTTGTAATTGGTGTGTTATTACTTATGAAGATGTAATGCTAGTTAGAAGTAGAAGTAGAAGTAGATTGAACTATGTTTTGTTGTGGAATGGAATATGTATTGTTGAATATGTTTTGTGGAATGGAATATGTTTTGTTGTGAATTGTTGAATTTTTGAGTGGAATGGAAATGACCCACTGAATTGTTGAATTGTCATTGTTGAATTGTTGAATGAAGGTGTGGAATGAAGATGTGGTATTATGGAATTGTTGTGGAATGAATATGTGTTATTGTGGAATTGTTGTGGAATGAAGATGTGAACCATGAACAGGTTTTAAACCATGAACTGAACCATAACCCATGACAAATTTTAAACCATGTCAGATTTTAAACAGGTTTGTTGTGGAATGAAGATGTTGTGGAATTGTTGTGGAATCAAGATGTTGAGTATGAACCATGACAGATTTTTTTACAGATTTGAACCATAAACAGATTTGAACCATAAACAGACATATTTTGGCAACCATGGTTTGAACCATAAACAGATTTTAAACAGCATGAACCATGAACCATCAATTACAGAACCATGAACTAGATTTGAGATTTGAGCATGATCTATGAACCATCATTTACAGAACCATGAACCAAATTTGACATTTGAGCATGAACCATGAGCCATGAACTAGATTTTTACACAGATTTTAGATTTTACACAGATTTTTACAGATTTGACAGATTTTACACAGATTTTTACAGATTTGAACCATGAACCAGATTTTTACACAAATTTTAGATTTTACACAGATTTTTACAGATTTGACAGATTTTACACAGATTTTTACAGATTTGAACCATGAACTAGATTTTTACACAGATTTCAGATTTTACACAGATTTTTACAGATTTGACTTGTTATTACAGATTTTACACAGATTTTTACATATTTGAACCATGAACTGTCAAAATAAACCATCAAAATAGCAAAATAGCAAAATGAAACACTGTCAAAGTAGATTTCTCAAATTTCTGAAACAAAACAAAGATTTCTCAGATTTCTCAAACACTGTTAAAATAGCAAAATGAAATAGGTTTTTTTACAGAATTTTTTAAACCATCAATTGTGAACTGAAAATGCTGAAAGACAGATTGTCAAAATAAACCATGAACTCAATAACCAACATTTTCATTTCTACAATCTCCATCTGTCAAAATAGATTTCTCAAATTTCTGAAACGAAACAAAGATTTCTTAGATTTCTCAAACACTGTTAAAATAGCAAAATGAAACAGGTTTTTTTACAGAATTTTTTAAACCATCAACTGTGAACTGAAAATGCTGAAAGACAGATTGTCAAAATAAACCATGAACTCAATAACCAACATTTTCATTTCTACAATCTCCATCAGTTATTCGCGCTCTGCAATGTCCATCATTCATTCCCGGTGTGCATGCATTAGAACCCGATGGGGTTAGAGATCCAGATCCAAAAATTTGAGTTGGAGCACTCAACAAACTTCTCGGTGTGTCGCTTACAAAGTTCGATGGGATAAGAGATGTGTCTCCAATAGCATTTACGACCTGTCATAATTGAAGTAAAAAAATACATGTTACAAAATATTTGTAAATGAAAACAAAAAATGTATGTAAAGTCGTCTTGTTAACACATACCGGTGCATACACACTGTTTTGCATGCCAACCATATAAGGATAATATGATGTATAAGCTTGAGCTTGAGCTTGAACTTCAGCTTGAGCTTGAGCTTCAAATTGAAGAACCTTAGCAGCCTATATTGGTTCAAGAGTTCGTAAAAATGTAGTTGAAAAGAGTTTGTTAAAAAAATAAAAACTAAGTTCAATTTAATATACAAGTTCAATTCAATATACAATATACCTTTGCTTTTGTTTGTTTTTTTGCCGTTGCCTTGAACCGATTCACTATTTGATCTACTTTGGCAACCTTTCGTTTCGTTACTAGATGGCCTCTTCGCCGAACAACCAAAGGGCTAACCACCTTCCTCGTACTAGCACCCGATGTACATCCGGTGGCAGTTGGACTTTTTGTAGAAGATGGTATCCTATTAGTAGAAGGTGGTAAATTACTCCCATCACCCGATTCATCGTGCATGACTCTATCCTTCATTTCATCTAACCCACGATCTATAATTTTAATTTTCCCTTCCGAATTACCAGCAAGTTGTATAATGGCGATCAATTTCTTGTTCATCCTCTCATAACAACTTGTATTGAAATCATTCCCAAAGCCAGTGTACGTGGTTTTGATGCATGTGTACTCTCGAACCAAATCTTTCCTTCAACGTGGCAAAATGTACTTACTTGGCACCTCATTTATGCACCTTCTCACAAGCACCGCTAGTGAATGAGCACACATAATCCCTCTAAACTGAAACAACTGACACATACGCTGAACTTCACATTCAATTGAATTAAAATACACAACAAAGCCCACATGCTTCATCTTGTCACAAACTGTTAACTTCAATTTCAAACTTTGAAACTGTTATGTTCAACTTCAACCTCACATAGTCATGGTATATCATAGAACACATATTAAACACTGTTAAAAAAAAAATTACAAAATAAGACAATAAATAAATAAAAAAAGAAAAAGAAACATATTTTCAGATTGAGGAATAGCTAAACAGCCATACGCATAGCCATACTTATTTTCAGATTCAGGAATAGCACTCATCAAACTACTTTCAGCAAGACACATGTTTTCATCATTCAGCAAGATAATAATGTCATGACAAGATACATACTTTCAACAAGATAATGTCATGTCTTGTATTTCTTTTAATTGAAACCAATGACATAAGGATCTTAAGGTTGACCAATTACACTGCTGCAGCGAAATTGTCCATTTTTATAATTGTCTTCCAAGATTTTTTGTATTTACATTACTAAAATTTATTTGTTTTCCCTTCTACCTGTGTGAAGTGGTATACTATCTATGCTTATTTCTTTATTGCCTTGGGCTGTCTCTTCTCAGGTGCTAACATATGGACATTATTATACTACTATTTACTGATTCTCTTTTTCTTTTTTTCTCTTTTTATTTACAAGAACAAAATTAATTTCCCACTCCTGAAGACACCAAACTGTATATCTAACATCTAGATGGCTAAATATGGGGAGGTTCATAATCTGTCACTCAAATTTATAATTTCATTAGTGAATTTTTTTTTTTTTAAACTCTGTTTTAACATAGATATTGGTTAAAATTATTTGCCTATTCCTCTTGTACAATTTTTGGCTTTATCAAGCTTATGCATACTACAGTCTATCTTCTTTGGACCAAACAGTGGTTTAATGATTGCACTGACGACATCAGAGTCTGTTGTTCCCATGCTCTATACCAGCTTCCCATGCTCTATTTCCTATGTTGAGAATTTAAAATGTGAAAACAAACAGAAAACTGTTCGGAAATCATTTTTCAAGAAATCAAAATCATTTTTCAAGAAATCATTGATTCAAGAAATCATTTTTCAAGACCTCTTTTGTACAAAGCCCTGATTCAATAAATCATTTGTACAGTTTTCAAAAGCTCACACCTAGTACAGAACATTAAAGAACCCCCTGTATGTAGATCATTTGTACAGAACATTCAATAAATCATTTTTACAGACATTTCAGATTGATCAATGTATGTAGATAGAGAGAGGGGAGAATGAGTGGTTTTCGAATAACATTACCTGACAAAATGTGATGAACCCCCTTCAAAAGAATGTGATCGAAGATCCGTAGAGCGAGATACAGAGAGTTATGGCCGGAGAGCTATGGCTGTCGACGGAAGAGAGCTATGGTGGACGCACGATGGAAGATGGGAAGAGGGAAGAGGGAAGACGGACAGGGTCGTCAACCACGTTGTGTAGCTTCCCGCTTTTTTTTTTTGTCTTTGTTTTCAGCTTCTGTTTTTTTTTTTTGGTCTTACAGGTGCATATATCACACGTTCCTCATTGTGCAAATGTTCTTCATATGACTTCAATAGCTGCCACCTCAGAGGGGGTCGTGAGGGTTGGTTTTGAAAGGGGTCCGTATCGGAGCTACTTTGTAATATTATGAGCATGTGACACTAAATAATTTGTTATTATATATAAATCAATTTAAAATTCACCTCAACAAGAGGAGGGTGATCTCCATTAGTCATAATGATGCTTGCTTTCTCTCTAATCCTCATCATGCAATTCTTGAATTCCCATATTTCTCCCGCACAACAAAATATCAGCCACTGTTATACCGAATTTCTTAAATTTATTATAAATATTATTATAAAAAAACCATCACTAAAATTAATAAACAAATAATCATGTAGATGCATAAATTACACTAAATAATCTTATACAAACTCTAAAATAAAAAATACTCTAAAAGTGTGTTTAATTTATGAATTTATATATGAATTTAAAAAAAGAAAGAAAAAATATATTGATAAAATATAAATAAAATATAATTATGTTTCACACACATTTTTTTTTTAAAATTCCTATTCAAAAATAAACTGTATTACACTGCTACAATTTAATTTAATTGAAGACAACTTCTTCCCAAAATAAAATTAAATACACCTTAAGCTTAGGTCAGTCTTTTTTTCTTTTTCTTTTTTTTTAAGATAGTGAAGGCTAGGCCACTTTAACTAGCCTGTCTCTGTCATTTTTATAGACCTCTATTTGTTTTTAGCCAAATTTAGCTAAATTTAACTGTTAATATTCATTAGCCTTCGTGCTATCCCAAACCAGATTGTTTTAATAATTTTTTAATTTTTTATGAAAAAAATATATAAAACATAAAAAGTAATAACTTATAATAATTTTTTAACTAAAATATATAAGTTGGCAAATGAAACCTTAGTTGAGCTAAAAAAAGCACAAAACATAAAATTGACTAAATAAATTAATAAGAAAAAATATTACATCTAAATTATAATTATTTTATATTTTCTCTCATAAAAATTTCAAAAAAGCTAAAAAAGTAAAACCAAATGAATTTTTTAATCATAAGTTAAAAAAGTCCCAACTCAAAGTACTGTTTTGAAAAGTTGGTAAAATATTGATTTTCTTTTTTTTTTGGGAACTTTTTAACTTTTTTTGTGTTATTAAATTAAAGAAATGATATGATAAAAAAAAATCAAAAAATCAAAAAAATTAATTTTTTATTGCCAAAACACCCAAAAAAAAAGCCAATAAAAAATGCCAATGCCAACGCCAATAAAAAAATGCCAATAAAACTTTACTTTTTCTTTCGTCTTGAAAAGTGTAGATTTAAACAATAAAAAAAGTTGTTAAATTTACTAAATAAAATTGAGATTTTTGTTATATTATTATGAATTGCAAAAAAACAAAAAAACCCTATCTAAAATATAATAGAAACAAACGGCTAAGAGCTCGTTTGAAAAGAAAAAAGCCAAGAGCTTTTTGATTAAAATAGTCTGAAAAAATAAAATAGATTAAAAAGTCAATAAGACAAATGTCACATTTAAATCATACTCATTATATTTTTTTTCTCACAAAAGTAAAAAATAAAAAATAAAAAAATCTATCTTAAACGAGACTTTTAACCATAGGCTAAAATAACTAAAAAGTCAAAAAATCAACTTATATCCCAAACGAATCCTAAAATTGGTTTAGAAAGTGTTTTGTTTTTAGTATTTTCTTTTTTAGTTTTTGCTCTGATTGAAATATGAAATGAAAAAAAATGAAATGGTTGAGATAGTCCAATCAGTTTACTAAAAGTCACTTCACTTCCTAATTATTTTAATATGAAAATCTTAATAAGAAAATATTTAGGAATTGTTTAGAATGACATAAATAAGTATATTTTTTGTCATTTTAATAAAAAATGTGTAGAAAAATAAAAAAGTGATGTGATGAAAAAAAAAATAAAAAAAAAATTATTTTTGAATTGTCAAACTTAGGGGTTGTTTGGGATTACCTAAATAAGTGTATTTTTTATCTTTTTACGAAAAGATGTGCAGAAAAATAGATAAGTGATGTGATAAAAAAAAATAAAAAAATAAAAAGATAAATTATTTTGTGCAAAAATGACTGGTAGCTCGAAATTCATGGCTCGATTTTGGCTCGAATGGCAAAACGACGTCGTTTTGCCATTTTTTTTTCTTCTTTTTCTTCGTTTTCTTTCTCTTCCTTTTTTTTGTTTCTTTTCTTCTTCTTCGTTGAACACAGGCGAGAGAGAGCAGAGCAGAAGCGAGAGAGAAACAGAGCTCGTCGGACACAGCTCGTCGGCGTCGTTGAACACAGCTCGTCGGCGTCGTAGCTCGTCACTCGTCGCTCAGCCCCGCCTCCGCCTCTGCCTCCGCCCACCTCCACCTCCACCTCCGCCTCCACCTCCGATTTTGATGGCCCCCTCCAGTCCAGTTCTTCTTCTTCTTCTTCTCTTCTTCTTCTTCTTCCTTTTTCTTCTTCTCCGAATTCAGGCCAAATTCGAGCCTCTACTACGAATCAGAGCCCTTATTTTGTGTATGCCAAACTTGGCCTTAACCTTATAATCTTATAATCTTATTTTTACTTTCCTTTTCAACTTCAAGACAAAAATGATTAGGTTCAATATGCATTGATGATAGTGCAGGGAAAATATAAAATAATAAAATAAGAAATAAGACACCTTTTTATTTCAGAAAATTAAACTCTCTTTTCAGAAAATTAAATTTTTTTATATAAAATTTAAATTTTATAAAAATAATACCATTAAAAAGATCGACAATATCTTTAAAATAAGGTTAGCATTAAATATATAAAAAATAGATATAAAAATTACACAATAAAAATGAAATATATACCTAAAGTTAATATGAACAAAAAAAAATTGTTTAAAATTATCAATAAATAGTAATAAAAATGAAAGATAATAATATTCAAATTATACAAATATTAATTCAAAGGAGAATTTTTTTAAGGTCCCTAGTATTAAAATTTTATAAGATAAAAGATATGCAATATTTTTATAGTAGTTTGGGTTTCTCAACATTTTTCCAGAGAAATTTTAATTCTGAGAAATTGAAATTTCTCTAATTTGCTCAATTTTTTTTGATTTTCTTTGTATTTTGAAATTTTTTTTATATTTTGACTAATTTTCTTTAATTTACTCACAATTTTCTTTGTATTTCGACAAACCAGAGAAAATTGATAGTGTGATTCATACAAAAGAGAGCACTATGGACATTGGACGGTAATACCGGCGAGTGTGAACAACATGTCGTAGAGTTGCAAGTACAAAATCTTCTATTCACTGATCCAAAATCTCATTCATCACTGCATTTACATCCTACCACTAGTCGCCGCCGTTTCTTCACACTCCTCGTTCAGCTTCCTTCTCTCTCTCTCTCTCTCTCACACTCACTTTTTATGATAGTATCTCTTTATTATGGGGATCACATCCAGTTCTCAACAAAACTAGAGTGGAAGAACATCAATCTAGTTAAAGAAGCCAATGGCCACCTATGGTGGCCGAAACAAGAAAACCAAGATGGCGAGACGTCATATAGAGGAGATAAGAAAGCGCAAATTCTCAATAGACGAGAATGTCCCAAACCGTTTGACTCGAGATCTCCACAACGCTATAACTAGGCTCTTTTTTGAGCTCTACACCAAAGACGTCCACTTTCTCATAGAGCTTATTCAGGTTTTCCTTTCCTCTCTTTCTCATAGTTTCGTTCTCTCTAAGAGAAAATCTTTTTCTCTCTTATTAATACAGTAATAGAGAAAAGTGAGAGTTTTGGTGCAAAGCGAGAGAATGAGAGAGTATGTGTTATATATGATTGTGGGCGAGGGACCTTAGTTATAAAAATAAAAAATAAAATAAATAAATAAATAAATAAAAATAGATAAATTATTATGAACTTCTTTCATTACTAAAAGTTTGGAAAGATATGTTAGACCAATTTTTTCTAATTAAAACTGTAAAAGTAAAAAATAATAATTTTCAAATTATACAATATTAATTGAAACCATACGAATAAAAACAATAATATTTAACCATATAAATAATAAGTCAAACCAAACAACAAAAATAATAATTAAACCACAATTTTTTTTATTTATTAACTCAAATCAAACAATAAAATTTGATACAAATATTAACTCAAATCATACAAATAAAAAAGGTCACTAAAAAAATAGTCATATATATTTTAGCATTAAAATTTAGACGTGTTCACGGATTGGTTTTGGCAGGTTCGGTTTGTGGTTTGAACCCGCCCTCATGTCTGCGATTTGGGGAAAGTTCAACTTGCAACCGCTCACAGTGCGGGTTGCGGTTTGTGCAAATTGGGTTCGCGGTTATGCGGGCAGTTAGGACGATTTGCTGATTGAATTTTTTCCTCTCAAAATTTATTTTTGGGCCTATTTTCCACCATTTTCTAAATATTATTTTGGGCCATAAAATCACAAATTTCTTATCATAAAATAATTATTTTTGGGTGAGAAGGAAATCCTTAAAAAACTCCAAATATCAATAATTACTTTAGAACATTTAAAACTTATAAGATTAAAACACAAAAAAATCAATTCCTAGCACAAACAAAACATTCAAAATCCTAAACTTATAAATCAAATCATAAACTAACACAAACACATATACATATATAAATAAAAATAGTTCAATTTACTAGAAATAAATAAATAAATAAAGTATGGGGTTTGTTGGTTTAGGGTTTGGGTAAACAAAATCTATCTACTAATATGGAAGATCAAAATCTATGGTTCACAATTTTTTGAAAAAAAAAAAAATATATATATATATACATATACATATAAATGTGGGTGGGTGTGTACGGGTACAGGTGAAACCCACAACCGCCCGCAACCCGCAACATGACAATATTTCAAACCGCATCCGACCCTATTGTAGCTTCGAAACCGCCCACACAATGTGCGGATCAGATCGGATTAGGCGATTTTCACAGGTTGGATGACCCTATTAAAAATAGTTTAAAAAAAAGTTGGATACTAGAAATTCATTTTGCATATTTAGTTGAATTTTGTCTTCTATTGTTTTTAAAA